CATTTCCGAGTACGTTCTTTGATTTTTCAGAAAACCTATGAGTTCAAGAGCTACTGCTCCCTTCTGAGAGATTAAGAAACTGAGACTAACGAGGTCAACGTAGATTCGAAAGCTCACCAATGACCAAGCCAGAACTTAAACCCAGTTCACTCAGGCCAGCCTTCTTTCTCAGCTCCTCTCCCACTATCTCCTTTCTGCACCACAGGAAAGCAAGGCCAAAATGGTTCTGGCAAGAAGAATATTGAAAACATGTCCTTGGACCTCTACCTGGCCACCTTGTGGTCCTATTGGGAAGTCACTCTGCTTCCCACGTGGGTGAGGGACCTGCTGTCCCGGTTTGTTGTGATGATGAGTTATTGATGCAGACATGACTCGAGAACTCTAAAGTGCGAAAAATAGAAGGTGTTATTACTTTTTTTTTTTTTTTTTTTTTTTTGCCAGATGGAGTTTCTTAGAAGAGGGGCTGTAAGAAAAAGTTTCTCTCTGCGGGTATGACAAAGAGTCTACAGAGAAATAAGAGAAATTTTAAAGTTTAGAGTAAAAGTGGGTGTCTCCCCATCAACTCTGAAAGTGCAGAGAAGAGCTTACCTTAGCTGTATCGAGCCCTGAAGTTGAAGTTTTAACATTAGATCTTTAATCTAGAGAGGAAGGTCTCTGGCAACCTCATCAGAAGGCTGAATTTTCTCTTAACCTCCAGGGAAGGAATGTTCTTTTGCTCTCTCTCTGCATTTTGCCAGTTTACACTGATGGGAGGGACCAAGAGACATATCCCACCTAGGTACATGCTTGTGTGTGCACACCTCTGCATGCTGAGATTTCATTCTTCTGGGACATCTACCTTTGAGGAAAGGAAGTTCAGGAAACAGAACTGATGGAAAAAGGGAATAGAGGCAGACAACATAATGCCTTTCAGAAATGCCAGCTTTGTGTTTTGGAGACCACACTGCTGATCTGGGACATCTTTTTGAGTCGTGTGTCCACTGCCTAGCTTTAAGACTTGGGCAGGTCATCCTCTCTCTCACCGGGCCTCACTTTTCTATTATGCAAAACGGAGGGCAGGGTTGCAATACTCTGAAGTAGACACCTGCAGTCTACGGCCATACCACCCTGAACGTGCCCAATCTCATCTGAAGTAGACACCTGCTGACACCAACCCCCCTTTCTGTTGCTTGCACCCTACTTTTCCTTGAGAGTCTGGGCCTTCCCTCAACTCACTACCGTGCATTTTAGGGCAAGTGCCACTTGGCCCAAGTCCCAGGTACGACTGGATCTCGGATGAGCCCAGTCCTCCCCCCTGACCACAGTGACTGGTACAGTGATGGATATGAGGACCAAGCTGGCCCAATGAGATGAAATCCTATGACTTTAGCTGGAGGAACTGGGAAAAAGATGCTCTTAGTGAGTGGGGAAGCCAGAGTTATCCAGAGAATGGCATGGTGCTGAGGCAAGCAGAGACAAGAGAAGAGGGATCCCAATGACATTGTTTGATCCCCTTAATACTACTGGGCCTTGACTTCTGTTTGATCCAATACATTTTTTCTTTTTGCCTAAACTAGTTCTGAGTTTCTGTCACTTGTAATCCTAAGAATTCTGATAAAAAAATCTCCACTTGCCCATCTACCTTTGAAGATCTGTTGATCTTTGAGTCTACAATACAGTTTAATTGCATTATTTCATTCTCTAGAAGTTTCTTCTTTGTATTGGTCTCCCAGCCATTGTCTATTTCCCTACCTGTGGTGCAGGCACATTAAGAGCTGACTGCGTGATAATATGATACTTTATGTGGAAAACCCAAAACACTCCACCCCAAAACTGCTAGAACTCCTACAGGAATTTAGTAAAGTGGCAGGATATAAAATCAATGCACAGAAATCACTTGCATTTCTATACACCAACAACAAACAGAAGAAAGAGAAATTAAGGAGTTGATCCCATTTACAATTGCATCGAAAATCATAGGATACCTAGGAATAAATCTAACCAAAGAGGCAAAGAATCTGTACTCAGAAAACCATAGAATACTCATGAAAGAAATTGAGGAAGACACAAAGAAATGGAAAAATGTTCCATGCTCATGGATTGGAAGAACAAATATTGTGAAGATGTCAATGCTACCTAGAGCAATCTACACATTCAATGCAATCCCTATCAAAATACCATCCACTTTTTTCAAAGAAATGGAACAAATAATCCTAAAATTTGTATGGAACCAGAAAAGACCCCGAATAGCCAGAGGAATGTTGAAAAAGAAAAGCAAAGCTGGTGGCATCACAATTCCAGACTCCAAGTTCTATTACAAAGCTGTCATCGTCAAGATAGTATGGTACTGGCACAAAAACAGACACGTAGATCAATGGAACAGAGTAGAGAGCCCAGAAATGGACCCTCAACTCTATGGTCAACTAATTTTCAACAAAGCAGGAAAGAATGTCCAATGGAAAAAAGACAGTCTCTTCAACAAATGGTGTTGGGAAAATTGGACAGCCACATGCAGAAGAATGAAACTGGACCATTTCCTTACACTACACACAAAAATAGACTCAAAATGGATGAAAGACCTAAATGTGAAAAAGGAATCCATCAAAATCCATGAGGATAACACAGGCAGCAACCTCTTCGACCTCAGTCGCAGCAACTTCTTCCTAGATCATCGCCAAAGGCAAGGGAAGCAACGGCAATACTGAACTATTGGGATTTCATCAAGATAAAAAGCTTTTGCACAACAAAACCTAAAGACAAACGACAGAATGGGAGAAGATATTTGCAAATGACATATCAGATAAAGGGCTTATCCAATTATTTGTTCACCCAGAGAACAAATAATCCAACCAAGAAATGGGCAGAAGACCCGAACAGACATTTCTGCAAAGAAGACATCTAAATGGCCAACAGACACATGAAAAAGTGCTCAACATCACTAGGCATCAGGGAAATCCAAATCAAAACCTCAATGAGATACCACCTCACACCAGTCAGAATGGCTCAAATTAACAAGTCAGGAAACAACACATGTTGGCAAGGATGCGGAGAAAGGGGAACCCTCCTACACTGTTGGTGGGAATGCAAGCTGGTGCAGCCACTCTGGAAAACAGTATGGAGGTTCCTCAAAAAGTTGAAAATAGAGCTACCCTATGACCCAGCAATTGCACTACTGGGTATTTATCCCAAAGATACAAATGTAGTGATCCGAAGGGGCACATACATGCACCCCAATGTTTATAGCAGCAATGTCCATAATAGCCAAGCTATGGGAAGAGCCCAGATGTCCGTCGACAGATGAACGGATAAAGAAAATGTGCTTTATATATACAATGGAATATTATGCAGCCATCAAAAAAAATGAAATCTTGTCGTGGATGGAACTAGAGGGTATTATGCTAAGCGAAATAAGTCAATCAGAGAAAGATAAGTATCATATGATCTCACTGATATGAGGAATTTGAGAAACAAGACACAGGATCATAGGGGAAGGGAGGGAAAAATGACACAAGATGACACCAGAGAGGGAGACAAACCATAAGAGACTCTTAATCTCAGGAAACAAACTGAGGGTTGCTGGAGTGGAGGGTGCTGGGAGGGATGGGGTGATTAGATGATGGACATTGGGGACGGTATGTGCTATGGTGAGCGCTGTGAATTGTGTAAGACTGATGAATCACAGAACTGTACCCCTGAAACAAATAATACATTATATGTTAATAAAAAAAAGAGCTGACTGCGTATTCTATTTCCTGTGGTCTCTCCCAGAGACACAGTCCTGGCCCACATCCCTGGCCCCATTCCTCCCTCCATCCCTAATTTCTTTCTTATTTACTGAGATGGTTGGGTTGCTAAGTTGAATCAACAGATTCCTGGGGTTCTCCCTCAGTTTACTGGGCGGGATAAACTAGAAAAAAGCCAGTCTGTGCTATAAATGATCACAGGGTCTATAACAGAGGTAGTAGGCATGTGGAAACAGTAATGATCTTTAGAAGAGTATGGTCACTTTTCCAAGGTGGGGAGGGAAAAAAAGACAAATCTGGAAAGAGGTCTACTTGTTTGCTACACAGGCTGGTGGGGAGCAATTCACTCTAGGCTAAAAGGCGGTAGGAGCAAAGGCTCTGAGGCATTAAACGGGGATGTATGTTCAGAGAACCACACCTAATTCACTCCACCGGCTCTAGTGTAGAAGGAAGCAAAGTGATGGAGAGGTTGGAAAGGGTCAAATCAAGACGGCATCGAATGCCAGGTGAAGAAGTTCATCTTGAAGGGCGAAGTTTACCAAGTGTGCTTCCATGAGCTCTGCCTCCCCACACATAAAACACTCACTAAATTGTTACAAATTCAGGTTCCTGGGACCTAACCCCCTCTACAGTATCAATATTACTGGTGTGGGACCCTGGAACCTACATTTGAAACAAGCACCCTATGTCATTCTGATAAAACAAACCATCCAGTTTGAAAGCCTCTTCTATAGGCAACAAAGATCCTCAAAATCCTCTGTGTCCTTACGCCATGCTTCATTCTGGAGCCTTAAGCAGATAAGACTGCCATTCCCCTCCATGCCCTTGCCTTGGCTATACCCACTCTTTCCCTAATGTAAGTTGACCCACCTCTTGAAGCCAGTTAAACACCATCTTCCCCAACTTCAACCAACCTTAAGTTCTCCACTGAAACTTTCTCTTCTGGACATCTCATTGACATGATCCCATTGTGCCCACAGAGGTAAGACATGCCCTACCTCACCCCCAAATGGACAGTCCCCTTCCTGAGGCCAGGAGCTCTCAAGGACCTATTGCATATTGGGCACTGGAGTTCTGATGTCTCATTTCATTCTTCCAACAATTCCACAAGGTAGGTTTAACGATCCCACTTTACAGATGGAGAAACCACGGGAGCCTGGTGTGCTGAAGGCCACAGAGGCAGCAGCCATGAGCGAGCTACCCCTCACAGGGAGAGGCCTCCAGCAAGCAGCCTTGGCACCTGGGCCAGCTCCATGGTCATGGGCCAATGGCACTTACCACACATCCTGAGGAGTCTACCTGGCGGTCAGACACACACTTGAAGTTTCGAGTGCAGCCCCCATTGTTCCGAGAGCAGTCACGAACTGGCCCAAAGGAGGACAGCAGGTCGTTGATGGTTTCGAAGTATGTGGACAGCATCGCTTCTTCCCTTGGAGACAAAGGGGATGGTTAAACCCCAAAGACATGTGTATCATTAGATTAAAAAAAATTAAATATGCATTCATTACAGTTAAGAGCACCATTTATGGTATTTGTAATCAAGAAAATGATACAAATACATATCTAAAAAGAAAATAGTAAGAAAAAATCCAATAGGTATGCCATCATATGACCTGATGTTTGTCTACTTGTGATGAAAAGGAATATACTTGGAACTTGGCACTCTTTATTTCACTAATCCTCATAATTTGGGAAGGTAGGCTTGAGATTTTCATTTTACCAATAAGTGAACTGTGGCTCAGAAGTGGCTGAAGTGTCTTGCTGAAGTCCACCCAGCTTGTAATGTGGCAGAACTGAAGTTTGTGCCAAGCTCCATCTGAGTCCAAAAAGGAAAGCTCTTCCTGCTATACAACTCTTAACTCACATTCTGTATGTTTCTACAGATTCCAGACCTCCCCATAGCAACTCCGCAAAATGAGCACATTCTTATTATCCCTACTTTGGATATACATTGAAACTATTAAAGGTATGGGATTTCCCCCAAGTTACAAAGCCTATAAACAGCAAAGCTAAGACACAAACACAGGACTGTCTGACTCTAGAACCTTAGAGCTTTATTTTTCATACTATTGCATAAATGTGACCCCGTCCAGACTGACAGCAAGAGCTGCTGGAAAGGTAATGGGATTCTAGGCAAATGCATCCTTCCTCCCAAATGAGGTTCCCAAGAGATGAGACTGGGCTAGGTACCATGATCCATGGATCTGCCAAAGTTTTATTAGATGAGATATACAGACAGGAGTTTTTGGATGCTGCTTTCTGGCAAAAGGGCCCCCAGATAAGGATATCCTAGCATTGGAGTATCTGTGATGCCCACAGTTGCAGAAGATATTAAAGGGACACCACAGGCACCGAGTCGAGGTACACATTATCCCATGATATAGGACTCATGGGATCCAGAATTGTGAAAGAAGGGAGATGCTTATTGCAAGAAGAGGCCAGGGAGTGCTATTGGTGATACCTCTGGACCATCCTTCATCCTTCTCTCACTGTTTCCTTCCGGAGGCATGGAGTTCTACGTTTTTGTGTCCTAGCTTATTTTCTATCTCCAGTATGATCCCCTTCTATACTATCTTTCATACTGACTGTCAGTGAATCTTGTACATTCCAGTTCTAATTCATACCTCACTCATCAATAATAGCTCTCCATTACTTACAGAAGAAAATCTAAGTTAGTTTCCTTGGCATTCAAGGTCCTTCATAATTTGGTCTCTGCCTGCCCATCCAGCTCCATTTACCCTGTCCTCATATTCTCTACTGGCTAGCCACAGGTCTCTTCTCATTCCCTGAACACACAATCTTAGGTTAGCTTCTCTGAGAACAGACTCTGAAACAGAGTTGCACACAGCAGATTTTTCAAGGATCCCTCTTCTACACTTGTAGGAAGTAAGCAAGGCAGGACTGGACGAGGGAGAGGCCGACCTGCAATGTGGTTAATGCAAATAGATCTGAAGCTTCAGTTTGTCTTTAGGGGAGCTCTAGAGCTGGGTGGCCCTTTAAGGATGTCCTGATTAGAGACAAGGGGCCCTGCCCTCTGTATCACCATGTTGGCCAGTCACTGGCCAAGGGCTGCCATCTGGAAGGTGGTATCCTTGGGTGAGGCAGTTCATTGAAGGCAATACCCAGGGAGGAACACAGCTATGGGCCACGAGCCACCATCCAGGGGACGGGCAGGTCATCCCTGAAAAAGGGATCTGAGTATAGTATGTACCTTCACTTCTCAGAATCCTTAATCATGCTTTTGGGTCTGGGATGCTCATCTCTGATTCTTCTCCCTGATAAAATCCCAAGAATCCTTCAAAACTATTCAAATTCAGGGCACCTGGGTGGCTCAGACAGTTAAGCGTCTGCTTTAGGCACAGGTCATGATCCCCAAGTCCTGGGATTGAGTCCCGCATCCGGCTCCCTGCTCAGCAGGTAGCCTGCTTCTCCCTCTGCCTCTGCCAGTCTCTCTCTCTCTCTCTCTCCCTGTCTCTCACGAATAAATAAATAAAATCTTTAAAAAAAAACAAAAAAACTATTCAAATTCATCCATCCATCTATTCATTCATATATTGCACATGCTTATTGAGTGCTTACTTCATAGGAGGCACTATTCTAAGTACTGGGGATGCAGAAGTGACGTAGGACAAAGGCCTTACCTCCACAGAGCTTGCTATGAGTTCCTTTGTGAAACCCTGTCTACATCCCCCAACCAACCAGAATTAATTTCTTTTCCCTCTGAACACATTGTTTAAATCTATTTTTTTTAAAGATTTTATTTATTTATTTCAGAGAGAGAGAATGAGAGAGAGCACATGAGAGGGGGGAGGGGCAGAGGGAGAAGCAGACTCCCTGCAGAGCAAGGAGCCCGATGCGGACTCGATCCCAGCACTCCAGGATCATGACCTGAGCCGAAGGCAGTCGCTTAACCAACTGAGCCACCCAGGCGCCCTTGTTTAAATCTATTATCTCACTGATCTTAATCATTGGCTCTATGGTTTCCCAGAAAGACCATGAGCTTTTTGAGCAAATGCCTCAAGAGTTACTCATCCCTCTCTAGCCCCCAGCACAAGGCCTGGCAAAAACTTGTGATAAGTAAATGTTTTCCAGAAGAAACAAAACACCAGAAGGCATGGATGCAGCCTCCACCTGTCATTGGTCTCAGCAAGAGGGATACGCCTCTGCTCACCCCCAACTCTAGGTTCCCGTCCCAAGTCCTTCACACTCAGGTCTGTAGTACAAGGACAACAGAGAAGATGACAGGAGAGCTGCTAGACTAGCCCTCACTTCCCAGCTTGACACAAGATGAGGTCAGGGTGACAGGTGGATGGGGGAAGAGAACTAACAGTTCCTGAACTGAGGCTGCTCTTGGGAGACTTGCCACTTTTGAATCATGGAAAGATTTGAGGATTCTGAGAAGACATTAAGGCTATTAAAATATTAATATCCTTAGAGGGAGAAGAAGAAGAAGTGAGAATTAAAATGAGGAGATAAAGACAGAGGGAGGGACAAGCTGAGAAAGTGTGAGACCACGTAAAGAGATAAACATGTAGAGAAATTGCTAGAAAGGACAGAAATGGATGGATGGATGGATGGATGGATGGGTGGGTAGATGGATGGATAGACAGACAGAAAAATATAGAGACAGAGAGACACATCCAGAGGAGTGTCATAGAGAGAGAGATTAAAAGAGAGGACTATGGAGGCAGAGAAAGTATGTGAAAAGAGAGTCTGAAATGAAGAGCTAGGTTAGGGAGAAACAGGAGTAAGAAACACAGAGATTTAAAAGGAGAAAACATCAAGGTAAACAGAACAAGGGTGTCCTGAATCGAGCACAGGGAGAGGGGAAGGGAGGAGGAGGGGGCGGGGGGAAGGGGATGGGGAAGGAAACAGCCTCAGAAAGACAGAGAATGAAAGTGAAGAAAAAGACCCTGAGTGAGTGGAAGAGAACACACACAGGGACACAGAGAGCAGTCAGAGAATGACAAAGAAAAACAAAGGAAAAAAAGATAAAAACAAGCAAAAAATGTCACCTTGCAGTGGAACCGGAGACAGCTCAGGCTATACAAATAAGGAGGCTGCTAGCTTTTAAAAGGATTGAGTCTGCATAAACATCAGTTACATGAGGGGAACATTATTTCAAACACAAAGACCTGACACTGGGGCTTTACTGAGCCTAGCAGTGATTGTGTCAGGCTGGAGAAATGAAGAATCATCTGGCACAAGCGAGAGAAGTAGCTCAAGGCAAACCCTGATATTTTCTTAACTCCAGACTTAATCCCTCATCCCAGCTGCTGAGTTTAGGATTGGGGATCTGTTGGAGCTTAAAGCTGCCCCAATAGCTGGGGGCAAAGGATCAGGGGACTAGCACTGCAGGTTGAGGTGGGCTGGGGTGACAGAGAGAACTGGGTGACTCACAGCTTTGCCAGAAATCACCATTAACACCAACATCTTCATCATCTCTAACTTTCTGAGCACCTGCTGTGCATGGACACTGTGCCAGGCTCCTTCCCCAGGCCCTGTCCTTTGACTTTCACCATTGGCCTAGGAAGTATACCTTTTTATTCCTACCCTGCAGCTGGAGAGACTGGGTCTTGTGGGTAGGGGAGTTCTGTTACTCTCCCTGGTCCATGAGGTGGAGAGGCCAGAGTGTGGATCCAAGTCAGCCTGATGTCAGGTCCTGAGCTTTCTCTGTGCCATGGGTGAGCTAGGCCAACTTGCCCCGTGACCCGGGGCGAGACAGAGCTCTTATAACAGGAGAGACGGTAGCAATCTGCATCCAATCTCTGTGTCTTCGTGGAGGAAGAACTGGAAGGGCAGAACCTGGACAACCTCTGCATTCCTCCCAGCACTGTCTCCTGGCCTGTGTATATGCCGTAATAGCCTTGATCCACGCTGGAGTAAGAAGGGGAACCGTGGTGCACTCATTTCCCAGCGTTGCCATAACAAGTACCTGGAACCAGATGCTTTAGAACAAGAGAAACTTACTTTCTCCCAGTTCTGAAGGTTGGAAGCTAAACTCAAGGTGTCAGCAGAGCTTTGCTTCCTCTGTAGGCTCTAGAGGAGAATCCTTGCTTGCCTCTGCATAGCTTCCCATGGCTCCTGGCAACCTTGGCATCCCTTGGCTTATAGTCAAATCACTCCAACCTCTGCCTCCAGCTACACATGGCCTTCTCCCTGCATCTGAGTCTTTTCCTCTTCTTACAATGACACCATCCAATGGATTTAGCATCACCCTAATCCATTATGATCTTATCTCGATTACATTGGCAAACACCCTATTTCCAAAGGTCACATTCTGAGAATCTGGGTGGACATGAATTTTGGGGGCACATGACTCAACCTACTTATCCATGCCTCAGAGGAAAGTCCTCAAGATCCTGCAGTAGGAGACAGCCGGGACTAGAACACTCTGGTCCTTGGCTCTTACTTCAGTGCTCCTAACCC